AATCGATACCATCGATTATCACGTTGAATATTTCGAATGATGGCCTTCGTATGAGAAACTTCTTCTTTAACAAAACCCCATTTTGAAACGAGCTCATATTGATTTAAATCGATATTCGGTAGCATCCACTGTGCCTCGATCACATAAAACACGGGCTCGAGATTTTTCTCTCCCATTGATTTCCATTTTAACTTTACGGTACGTCGACTTTTTCGTTCAATTGCAGTGACATTATATAGTTGAGGAATTTTGTCTAATGGACATTAGCAAGTGCAGAAAAGAAAAACGATTGTTTATCACACGCTTACCCGTACAATCGTCTGATGATGAACAGAATTGACAATTACCTGTCAAACAATTCGACTGTTGTTGATAAAGTTTTTGTATAAATAAACAACTTCGTTCGCATTCCAAACTTTTCAACTGAAACAAGCGGTACGGTTCGTTTCATCTTGGAAATTGATATACCATCTATCGAACTTACTGTCGAACAGATTGCTTGACAACTTTGGTCATTGGCTAAAAGAAGTGCCGGTTCCAAATCACATGGGATCAAACACTAGAAGAAGGAAAAGATGAGCTTGTTAACATGTTAATGAGAAAGAATGGTTTGTCGATCAGAATGAATCCTTTTAATTGAATTAGATAGACATTGAACACTCATTAGTTATTACTTATCAGGCGAGACAATCTAACCTTACTCACTCCCGCTCCTCCTATTCATGCGGTCAATTTACTTACCGAACTACATGTGATGAGGCGTGGACAGCGCTCCCAAATAGATCTCCATGGTAATGTTAAAACATTGGTTGTCTAAAAAAGATCGTCAAGAAGAACATGAATCATTAGTATTGAAACAATGTCTGTCGACACTTCATTGACTCAGAAGAAAAACATTTCGTGTGCGAGAAACAAAATGACAATCGGAAGCACCTGGATCGTTCGTCTGACACCTTTACAATATGTTTGTCAATGAGATTAATTAACATGAAGAATGTACACGAGAAAGAAAAGAAAACTTTACCAATAATCGTTTCGTTTTCCCATCGATGAACGTTGAAGGTAACGAACGTTGCTGTTGATGGTAAGTTCGATATTCATATAGACATCGCGCTTTACATTGTGCAGATATTAACGAATTATATCGAGGATAAGATAGTACTTGAATGATTGAAAGAAGAATTTGAAGACAAAGAAAGACGATCATGTACGATAATGATCAAACGTTCAAATTAGCCAGTGTATCGGTCGTGATTTTTTTTCAATGTGTGAGCGATGGTTGAAGAGAGAATGTGTTTGTCCTCTCTCTCTCCCTTCTTCTTCTTCTCTTTCTTTTTCTTTCTCTTCTCCCTCGTTCGATTTATTCGATATGAACGAATGAACTCATTTGTTCCATGGCCGTGTGTAATAGACACATTTTGTCCGATATGCAGATCAGAGATACTTTTCAAGTAATAGGATGTAGTTAGCTTAGGGAAAATTTTAAGGTTGTTGAAGAATAGCATAAGCAGATTTGCTTCTCTTTTCTAATACCTTTGAAGAAGAAAAGCTCGTTTCCGGAGATCGTGATGATGATGACAGATCTCTGAAAAATCGAATTGGAAAGGCATGGGAGAGGAAAAAATGTCACACAAATTAGTTCTTTCTTCGTCTATGTATGTGATCGATTTATAACGAAACGGAAGTAGCGTAATAAAACGCGCCGATTCTTTTGCAATCGAGGAAGAAGCAGAAGAAAGAGACCCATCATATTAATTTATTCTAACAATCATGAAGTGAACTACATATACTGTCGTTGTCAATTTATTCATGTCTTTACTTGTTGTATATACAAGAAGAATAATGAAAGACAAAACGAGAAAAGAATTGTTAATTTTAATAAAGTATCAAAAGATGTAACAATATTCAGAGTTGACCTTGTGCTAACATAAATCGTGATTACAACTCT